CTCCTCCTCCTGTTCTTCGTCCTCCGCTTCTTCCTCATCCCCTTCCCAGTCCTCGTCCTCCAGGACCTCCTCCTCCTCTTCTTCCTCCTCCTCCTCCTCCTCCTCCTCCTCCTTCTCCTCCTCCGCCACTGTCGGGGCCTCCTCCTCCTCCTCCGACTTCGCCGTCGTCCTCCTCGTTCTTCTCCATCGCCGCTACCTCCCTCCTCCTCCTCCTCCACCTCTTCTTAGTCCTCCTCCTCGCCCTCTTCTTCTTCGTTGTCCTCCTCCTCCTGCTCCTCCTCCTCGCCCTCTTCACTTTCCCGCCAATGTCCGTGGCAAACCTTTCCCACCGAATCCCCGCCCAACTAAATGTTTTCTAAAAGTCCCTTGCCGACTGCCCAAATAAATGCCTTTGCTTTCCCGCCAATGTCCTATCTCAGAGTCTCGGTTCCAAAGCCCCTGCCAACTCCCGACTTGTCGCACGAGAGTTTACGTTCCCGCCAATGTGCCCCATCATCGCCGATCAATCAATCAATCGATCGATTAATTGATTGATTGACTCATTGATTGTTTGATTGATTGATTGATTGATTGATTGATTGATTGATTGATTGATTGATTGATTGATCGGCGATGACGGGGCACATTGGCGGGAAAGTTCCTCCATCATCGGACCCTCCTCCTCTTCTTCCTCCTCCTCTTCTTCCTCCTCCTCTTCTTCCTCCTTCTCTTCTTCCTCCTCCTCCTCTTCTTCTTCCTCCTCCTCCTCCTCGTCCTCCTCATTGACATTGGGCCTCCTCCTCCTCCTCCTCCTCCTCCTCTTCATCGTCGTCCTCCTCCTCCACCTCCTCCTCCCCCTCTTGGTCGTCCTCCTTCTCCGCCTCCACCTCCTCCTCCACTTCTTCCTCCTCCTCCTCCTCTTCTTCCTCCTGCTCCTCCTCCTCCTCATGGTCCTCCACTTCCTCCTCTTGCTCCTCCTCCTTCTCCTCCACCTCGTTGTCCCGCCAGTCCCTTCTCCACTCTCGTCGTTCCGCCCCGTCATCGCTGTGGAAAAAAAAGCGATTTCTGCGAAGTTGACAGTACCGGGCCCCTCTCTTCATCTTCATCGCATAGATATTCTGAAATAGAAGGTAGGCCTCCCCCTCTTCTTCCTCCTCCTCCCCCTCTTCGTCGTCCTCC